CTCCAGTCTCCAGGGGATGCAAGGACTGGTGAGTGCCCAGCCGGGCCCAGGCCGGCCAAAAGCCAGGAAGCCGGCGGACGAGATGGCTGCAGTGAGGAACCGGGGAGAGGCTGCTCGTGCCTCGGCCTAATGCCCGTGTGGGTACGGCCAGGGACACCGGGCAAGGGGCAGCCCTCGGCCATCAGGCTCCCAGCACCGCTCGTGATGGCTCAGGAAGCACCAGCTGGCCAGCCGGCTTTCCTTCTGCCTCACGTTGCATGGCGAAACCTCGGGAAGGCCTCTCGTCACATCTGGCACCGGACCACGGCCAGATCCCACAAGTGGAAATTGCTGTGGAAAACTCGGGAAAGTTTGCAAGAGAACCCTCGGCTTTCAGAAGTCGGGTGAGGAAGTCGAGGTTCGCTCCTGAGGCCACTACGGGAGGGTTTGGGTGTCCCCCACACCCATAAAGGGGGACAGAAAGAAAAAGAAAATGTACAAAGAAATAGAGACATAAAGAAAAGTTACAAAGAAAGAAACTTTACAAAGCAAGAACGAAAGTTTCCAAAGAAAGAAAGAAGGAGGGGGCGTATGTCTACACTAGCTCGTTAGTTCAAGCTAGGTAGGGTAATTAGGGCAACCGGAGTTGCAAATGAAGCCTGGGATTTAAATATCCCGGGCTTCATTTGCAACTCCGGTTGCCCTCATTACCCTACCTAGCTCGAACTAACGAGCTAGTGTAGACGTACCTGGGGAGAGCTGCAATAACACGCTAGCTATGGGGGGGCCTCGTGGGGTATTCTGGAGGGGGAGAAAATTAATGTTCCCCCTAATTTTTTCCATCCATGTGTGGCATACATTTTGTTCTGTACACCCAGGCATGTGCGGGTGTGCACCACCCATAGACACAGAGACTACCGGCTGCAGGGGAGGGGGCTCTGCTGATCAGCTGGGCTGGCGGGGGTGACTGGGACCCAGGTGTGGGAGGTGACAGCCCAGGAAGGGGCCCCCACAAGGAGGCACCAGGGGGCAGAGCTGAACACCCCCTTGCTCTTCTGCCTTGCTGAGGAAATTGGTGTCGTTGCATTGATGGGGAAACTGAGGCACGTTGTGTTGATGGGGAAACTGAGGCACGGAAGTGGGGGCGGGACTCACCCAGCACCGGAGAACCTGGGGGGTGTCCCCGCAAACTAGCACCCTCACCCCTGAGAACAGCTTCAGCTTGTCCATGCTGGGGGGTGCCCCACCTCCAGGGAGACCTGCCAGCTTTTGGGGGGGGGGCCCATTTGGGGACCCCCCCCTCACCCTTTTCTTTAGGGGGTGTGGCCTAACCTGAGGGAGCCCCGCCCCCTTGGGAAGTGTGTCCCCATTGAGCCTGTCATGCCACGCCCACTTTACAAGCCCCTCCCCCACCCCCATACTATTTGTGGGGTGCCAGCGTGGGGGAGATTTGAACCCATCGGGCGCAGAGAAACAAGCACAGAGACGCCATAGTGACCGGTCCTGAGTCCTCCTTTAATTCACTGACAGGCCATCAATAAATACATTCGTGGGGGGGGGGGGGATATATAAGTTAGATACGGTCCCCATTAATAAATAGCTCCCCCAGACTTGCTCCCCATTTCCTAATGGGGGTCACTCTAATTCACAGCCCGTCTGCCCTGGAGGGCCGGGTCTGGGACCCCAAGAATGCAGAGATGCACCCCTGTAAGTTTGGGGGGGACACCTGCTCCCCAAAAGCTCCCCTGTCAGTGGTGTGGCCCCAGCTTGAAGGGGGCGCTTTGAAGGAAACCCCAATGTATTTGGGGGGCAGTGAGGGGCCCCCAGAAGCGGCACCCAGAATTTCTCGCGTTAACATTATGCGTGGGTTCACCCCTCTCCAGTTCAGGAGGACGCGCTCTCCATCTGTCAATTGACACCCCGGTAATGTGGGCGTGTCCATTCCCTGACCCCCCCGAAAATCAGTAGAGATGTTGCTAGTACATTGGTCTGCATTCACGGGGGGCCCCCTCCCCGGCATTAAAACCAGCACCCCCACTTTTGGGGAGGGAACAGCTGCAAGAAAGTACGCCGCATCCCCCCAAAATCTCATTTACACCCCAAGTCTTAGCTCACCCTCTTAATTAAATCCAATGGAACCCCTAATAATTTTGGGGTGTCTAATCTGGAACCCCCTCCACAAATGTCTGCAGCTGCCGTCATCCGTCGGTGGCGGGTTTGAGCCTGTCAGCCCCACATCGCTAAGTAAACTAGACACTTAAACCGAGGGGTATCCCAATAATGTAGGGGTGCCCTCCAATGACCCCCCCAATATGGTGAGGATTCCCCACTTCCTCATAGGGATATTGATATACTTGACAAACCTTGGTGTGCCCCCAGAGCCTTAAAAAGGAGCCCCCGATAATTTGGGGGTACAGTACCTTGACACCCCACAACCTTCCGAGGTGCCCTTCAAAACGCCAACCCCACAACTCAGGGGGTACCCCATCACTAAGTGCCCCCCAATCCTTTTGGGGGTGCAGCCCAGTGACACCCTCCCAATCATTCAAGGCCCCTCTGAACAGCCTCTCCATGCCCTCAGCGCAGAAGGACCCCCCCCAAAGCAAAAGGGGACCCTTGCCTGGTCACAGAGCAAACGCCCCAAAAGACAGAGAGCCCCGGTCCGGACAGAGATGCGTCTCCCCCTCCGTCTCCGTGAACAGCCGGTCCCCCTCCTGCAGGGCGAAGGCCGCCCCCTGGCGCAGGGAGCGGTACCAGGGGGCCCCCCCGGGGCAGGCCACTTTGTGGGCGCTCAAGAGGGGGACGTCGCGGCGGTAGTTGTCGGAGAAGAGCAGCACGCGGTGGGCCAGGATGAGACGGGCGTCCCCGGCGGGGCAGGCGGCCCCCAGGAAGGAGGCCTGGAAGTAGACGAAATACATCCCCGAGGCCGGTACCACCAGGGAGTCGTTGGCCAGGCGGAAGCCCCCCCGGGTGAAGGAGGCGTCAATGTCGCTTCGCCAGCGGAGTGGCTGGGGGCCTGCGAGGAGAGGGCAGAGACACAAGAGGCGGTTTTCAATCTGCCAGCCGAAGGGTTCCCTTGCCGGGCGGGCGGATTGGGCCGAAAACGGCCAAGAAAACCCAGATAGTCTG